CGATTAAAGGGAAGACCTTCCACATGCCTTCCACAGAACTCCTATGGGTGCCACAGAGATGGAAGACCTATGGCAAGACCTCTTTTAATAGGTCTTCTATAGATGGATAGATTTTTCTATTAAAGGAAGGTCCGCAGCATGTCAACACATATTCAATGCAGAGATGCTTCTCTGCAGTCCCTCTATGGATGGGAGACTTTTCATGGGTCTTTTATAATGAGAAATTCTTCTAAGAGACAATTATAAAAATATGACCTTCCCATACCTTTTTATATAGAGAACCCTAGAATGACATATTTTTATAATGGACTCTTGACGGGGTTCTCTTTATAAAAGACCCATGAAAAGTGTCCGATCCATGGAGATTCTCCGAGTCATTAAGTCGTCTCCACGGACCTTAAATAATGTGGAAGCTCCTCAACAGGTACAAAACTGTTCTTTAAGTTAAAATCTGTCTCCTATACTTCTAGTATAGGGAACCCTCTAAACCGAAAAGATTATACTTTTTATAAATAGCTTATATGGGGAATGTCTTATAAGGATAAAAGTCCTTAGACAAGAAAAAATTATAAAGCAAAAAATAAAGGAAAATTCTCCTGAAAATCACCCCCATTGGACTTTCCTTAAAAAAAGGATGATAAACCAAAAGACTGATAAAAATCCAGTAGTAGAACATTTTTTTCATTTCCTAAAAATAAAGCCCCCCCCCCCACTACCCCACTGTGCTCTCATTATTCTACGCCGTAAAAAAACTCAACAACCATATCCCCGTCCCTCTCTCTCTCTCTCTCTGCGATTTCTTCCACATATCTGTTGTTGTATAGTTGTTATTAAAAACAAAAAAAAAAACTATAATTAAATTATATACTTCTTTACATAACTACCATTTCAGTTGCAAAGAATACCAAAACTTAAATGCATTCTTTGCCATTGTTATGGGTCTCTCGAACATGGCCGTGTCACGGCTGCAACAGACCTGGGAGAAAATCCCTTCGAAATTTCGCAAACTTTATCAAGAATTTGAGGCTTTAATTGATCCTAGTCGTAATCATCGGGCCTACAGGGTATTTGTGGGTAAATTGCAACCGCCCCTCATACCCTTTATGCCCCTCTTGCTCAAGGACATGACATTCGCGCACGAGGGCAACAAGACCAGCATCGATGGTCTGGTGAATTTCGAGAAAATGCACATGATGGCCCAAACGATGAGAACACTGAGATTTTGTCGTTCCAGGAGTTTGGGTGAGTACCGAAGGGTCTCTCTTCCCTTCAAAAAAAAGGTTATTTAATAAATTTTAATTTTTTTCCAAAACCAGGTCTTGATCCACCCTCACCCAAGAGTGAGGGCGAAGTACGCTCATTTATTAGCTGCCTGCGGGTGATAGACAATCAACGAGTCCTCACAGCAATGTCACAGAAAATCGAACCAACTCGTAAGATATAAATATTCGAATAAGAGAACTTATAAAAAAAAATCCAAATTAAAAGTTAGGTGGGTAGGAGGTAACCGCATTACCATAGCAGTGTAGTTTATCTTTCCTCCCACTTTTCAAAAACCCCCACGTTAGAAAAACACAAAAAATTAAAATATTTTGTTATATATAAAAATATGTGTTAAAAAGTCATGTTTTTTATTGATAAATTGAGAAAATTTGTATTTAGAAATTTAGAAAATTCTAGATTTAAACAAAACAAAAAATAATGTTTGTAAAAAAAATGTTAAGCAAAAAGAAAAAAAGGATTTTAAAATATTATATATGTGATAATAATAAAATAATTTATATTAATAGTATCTCTAACCCTCTCCCTCTCTCTCTCTCTCTGGCAATCTAAATATCTCTCTTTACTTTACACATTTCAGATAGGGATGAAAAATTATTGAACGACCCAGAAACAGATGAAAAAAGTTTATCTATCTCTTAAATCTAAATGAGAAAGGTCTTCTGTCCTTAGAAGAAGCTGAAGCAGGTCTATTCTGATGCCACAGTCGATGAATACGAGTAGAGAGCGAACATCGACTGTTATGGCGGCGCACACCATCAACATGGCCGGCGCTTGAGTTGCATATTTTCAGCAGACCTCTTTGACATGTTTGTTTTTCAGTTGTTTACAAACTGCTAGACAACGAATGTTTTCTCAACGGATAAAACCAAATTCGGCAGTTCACCACTTTTGGCCAAGCGAAGCAACTCTTTAGCTCTTTTGAGTCTATTTTCTTTCAGTTGCGGTGTAAGTTCTTGCACTTTTTGGAATTTCAATATCTTTACCACGAGCTCGTTTTTCAACAATTGCCGAATGTGCAGCACACGACCCACTGCGACGTGGGTTTCAATCAAGTCGCTTCTTTACTTTTCAAACCTTTTCTGCTGATGTTGCTGTTTTCTTTCGTCCACTTCCTTGACGTCGGGCTACGCTACCAGTATCACGGTAACGAGCGATGGTACTAGACAAAAAAAGATTTATTCTCATTTAAATGCTGGAGTGCTCTAACGATATGCTACCAGTATCACGGTACGAGACACGAAAGATTCATTCACATTTAAATGCTGGAATGCCCGATACGATAACCACTTGTGGTTTTCCATCACGAATAACTTTTTTTTCTGGAAAATTCTCACCAAAATGCTTTTGTAGGTTTGTAAACAATACAATGAGCTGTCACTGAAATAATTTTAACCGCTGTCGGACGAGTAGCTTAAGAATGACAGCAGTCTGAAGTTGGTTGCAGTTTTTTCATCTCACCCTGTATGTAGACCTTCCAGAGGTCTTTAAAAGACATTTTCTTCCTTTTCAACTTATTTCTTCTTTCTAGACCTAAGAAAAGTCCCAAGTCCGATTTTTTGTCATTTGTCTAACTATGAAGTCCCTATAAATTACTGATATTTTGGAATTTCCCTGTTTCTGCTGCAATTTTCATCCCTGTGCACCAATCTCAATTTCTCTCGACTCTCTCTCTCTCTCTCTCTCTCTCTCTCTGTTCTCTTTCTTTAAATATTCATTGCAATATGCTCTCGCTCTGAAACTATTCGTATCTGAGATAAGACTTAATACCTCTTTACTATTGTCCCCTACATTTCTCTATTTATTCTTTTATTAATCTAACAACTATTTATCTTTCCCACTCATGTGCCCTTTTAATCTTCCCTTGAAAAAGGAACTGTACATACGAATCTAAACTCAATCCCCAAAAACAAATTAAAGACAAAAAAATGTGTTTAAAAATAGAAATGAAGAAAAATTAAAAATTATATATTTTTCTAAGCTCTTTACAATTTCTAATAAATAAAAACATAGAAAAAATAAATTTAGAAAATAAATTCTCGTTATATTTATTTGTATAGAAACACAATTGTTTATGCATTTTTTTATAAATATATTTATAAAATGGACTTTTATTGCACATACATTGTTATTATCCCTATTACTCGCTCACACAATTTGTAATTTTTTTTTAGTTTTTTTTTTTTTTAATCAAAAATATTTAATTTTAATTTTATGTAAAAAAAAAACTATATAGCCTTAATAATTTTTTATTGTTATTATTTTTTAATAAATAGAACAAAAAATATCAAATAAATATATTATATAAATTATAATTTGAGTTTGTTTGCTTTTTTCTTTTTTTAGTTTTTTTTATACCCTCCACCATAGTATGGAGGGTATATTAAGTTTGTCATTTCGATTGTAACACCTCGAAATATACATTTTGGACCCCGCAAAGTATATATATTCTTGATCTGCATAGAATTCTTTGTCGATTAAGTGATGTCCGTACATTTATCCGTCTGTGGAAATCACTCTAGCTTCCGAACGAATTGATATGTTATGTCTGCAGGACTTTTGGTATTGAAAATGGACCATGTAGATCCACGTTTTGGTATAGCCCCCATATAACGGTACCTCCCGATGTTCGGTATTTTGATGAGTTTAGCGACATTATTCACCGGAATTTATTTAAATTTGACAGAAAATTTTCTGTGCAGGTACACGTCTTCGTATAGCCCCCATATAACGGTACCTCCCGATATTCGGTATTTTGATGATTTTAGCGAATTTCTTCACCGGAATTGTTTCAAAATTGGTATTTAAAGTTCGTAATGGATACTACAGCCTAAGACAGAAAATTGTCTGTGCATGTCCACATCTTCGTAGAGCCCCCATATAACGGTACCTCCCGATATTCGGTATTTTGTTGATTTTATCGACATTATCAGGCATGTCACAGAATGTAAAATCGTTCAAGAGTGAAAACGAAAACAAACACATAAATCATAAAACATATGATCTTCGCCTTAACAAGGCAAAACTCAAAAATTCAGCCGAGCCTGGCTGTGGGATTTGAACCGCGGACCTCGGTGTGCAGCCAACTAGAAGTTGCCGTCTCTACGTTCAGAGCCATTAACCCATCTTCCTAAAGCAGCACTAAAACAAGTGTATGCATTGGAAGCAATGTAGTTGTTGTGGACAAAAAATCCATCACTACAAAAACAAAACTTTGCTGTGAAAAAGATCTGCCAATAGAACTTGAGTCGAACCTGGAGAGTTTCTAGTGTATAATTCGCATATGCTAATTTGCAATAAGTTCGAAATATATACTACTTTCCAGAGAACGGCCCTTGTAAGCCATCATCCACACCAAATATGCCTGATGAGCCGCTTAACCAACGGCGAAACGCGTCGCATAGTGGTGAGTGTGTGATAGTGTCTATCTGGCTTTCCTTTTCACTGCAAATTTCAGATCATTAAGCTCGTCTCGAAAGAGAAAACAAACACATAAAACGGTTTTAGCTTCTCTAAAAAACGGAAAACGCAAAAATTTTGCGTTTTGATATCACTTTCAAAAAGCAGGGTGAAATTGAAATGTTTAGTGATTTTAACGTTAAAAATAAACAGAAGACACATACATTTAACAGAAAATTCTCTTAGAATGAACATGCTTTTGGTATTTATTTTACAAAAAATCTATTATTTTTCTAATCCATGATGAAAACGCAAAAAAATATGCAGAAATGAACGGCAGACTTGTATTGTTGAATTATTGCCATATGTGTTGAAGAAGAAGGTGTAGAAATGTACAACTGACAGACCAAAAAGCAAAAAAGTACAATTTCGACTTTCTTTTTTCTTCGGAAGACATTCTTAATTTGATCCAATGTGGACAAATTTCAGCTTCAATTGCATTAATAACTCTCCACATAATTGTAGAAACTGTACTTCTCCCAAGGCTTAGCTCCACATTTCTACCTATAACTCCTTGAAATGCACCCGTAGCCAAAAACCTAAGCGTTGTTGCAAGCTGGATAATAGCCGATATATTGGAACGTTTGAGGTGGGGAGAAATTTTGTTCCAAAACTAAAACAAAAGCTTCTTTATTTAGCCGATAATAAGTTATAAATCTGTAGAAATAAATTATTATTAAAATAAATTTGAAAATAACTCATTGCTGGTGGATCCTTACTATGCATTTGAGTGAGATAAAGGATCTGATGCGTTCCTCAATGTCCGGCGACGAATTTTTTCAGTAGACCGCTGATTTATTTCTTCATCCATTACAGCAAGTATTGAAGCCCCTTGCATTTTTACTTTTGGTGTTTATATTATAAAAAACAATTTAAACTCCTTTTTTAATTGTCAATAATTTGTTTACGACTTTTTTTTTCATGGAGTTACCATATTTTTATTTCAAAAATGTGAAATGATTTTTTTTCCGGATTAGTCAAAACGTACGAGTGCTGAAGAAGCAAAAGCAAATCGTAACGATTTGGAAAAGGTGAAATAAATCGATTTCGTAAAACTTCTGTGACATGCCTGTATATTCGCTTTTTTTTGTTTCAGTTTCGCATTTGAATATTGTAATGGCTTATGACAAATGTTACCTACGCAGGTTCATGTCGTCGTATAGGCCCTAATAAAATGGCTACATTCGGTATTTTTAAGATTTTAACAGAAGTTTTAACGGATTTTATTGTTTTTGAGAATTGCCAAATTCGTTCCAAATGATGGAGGGTATTCAAAGTTCGGCCCGGCCGAACTTACAGCTTTTTTATTTGTTTTTTTTTTTTTTTTTTCAATTTTATCCTAAAGTGGGGATACATAAGCAGCTTGTCATCGTTGCATAGCATATTAATGTCAAATGGTAAGGGAAAACGACGCCAGAATTGGTATGCGACTCTGATATTCCTTTATAATTAAACCTAAACCTTAAATACAAGACATTTGCTTTGGAAAGGCCATTTTATTATACCCTTCACCTTGGAAAGGAGGGTAAATTAACATTGCCATTCCCTTTGTAACATCCTTAAATATTCGTATAATATATATTCATAATCAGCATAAAATTCCAAGTCAATTTAACGATGTCCGTCTGTCTGTCCGCCTGTCTGTCTGTCTGTTGAAATCACGATACAGCCCACATTATTTGACGTAGAGCGTTAAAATTTTGCAAACCAATTTGTATTGCGTCTAGGATGGTTGGTATTGAAAATGAGATATATCGGTCCACGTTTTGGTATAGCCCCCACACAACGGTATTTCCCGATTATTCGGTATTTTGATGATTTTTGCCACATTTTTTTCACGGATTGTTCTGAAAATTGTTATTCGTAGGTCATAATGGGTCCTTGTTTGTGTGGCAAAATATTGTATATATGGGTTAACGCTTTGATATAGCCCTTATATAACAGTATCTCCCGATTTTTGGTATTTTGACGATTTTTGCCACATTTTTTCATGTATTTCTCTAAAAATTCGTATTTGTTAGTCATATTGGGTTCCAGTTCCGGTGGCGAAAGATTGCTTGTATAGGTTCACGATTTGGTATAGCCCCCATATAATGGTACCTCCCGATATTCGGTAATTTGTTGATTTTTGCCATACTTTTTTACGGATTTGTCTGAAAATTGGTATTTGTAGGTCATAATGGGTCTTAGTTTGTGTAGCGAAATATTGTATATATGGGTCCACGCTTTGGTATAGCCCCCATATAATGGTACCTCCCGATATTGGGTATTTTGAGGATTTTTGTCACATTTCTCCACGCATTTGTCTAAAAATTGGTATTTGTGTGTCCTAATAGGTTTTAGCTCCGTTGGCGAAACATTGTATGTATAGGTCCACGTTTTTGTATAGCCCCATATAGTGGTACCTCCCGAAATTCGATATTTTCCCACAAATATCTCTAAAAATTGGTATTTGTGGGTCATAATGGGTTCTAATGTTTCCTTCATGTTTATGTTGCTTTATGTTTTTTACTTGTGTTTTAATGATTTTATTATTTTTTATTATTAGTTAAAAAATTATGTTTATTACAATAATAAAATAGTTTTTTCGTGTGGAAATACTTAACAAATTTGTGTAAAATTGGTTCACCTCCATTCTATCTCTTTCGAAATAGTTTCCCTCCAATCTTTCTACCCTTTTCCATCTATAACACCCTGTAACATTACACAAATTAAATATTTCTAATTGTTTAAAATATAACTTTTTTGGAATATAACAATAATTTATATGTGTAAATGTAGGTGATGTATAGAAGATACAAAAAAAAAACTAGTAACATTTTTTATAAAATCAAATTACATTTGAAAAAACAAAAATTCACAGATAAAAACTGGAGAGGGACCTTTGTTAATTGTTAACAAAAAAATATATAATTAAATTAAAATACAAACGTATGCAAAATACTGTGCAATAATACTCCGATATTAACAAAAAATAAATATTTGAACGAATTAATGTATTTTATTATAGAGCAAACAATAAATAAAGTTTATAAGTGTTTTAGTGATAGTTGTAAAAAACCCCAAAAAAGAAACTATACAGAACAATTTTATGATAATAATAATAATACTAATAATATATTATTATAAATAATAACAATAATGATAATAATAAAATTTAATTTCAAAACAAAAAGATCTCCAAAAAAACTTATATGCCACTGTCATGTTAAAGATATTGCCCTATTTTATTAAATCCTTACAATAAAGCTCAAATTGAAGGCAAATGCGTCACTAAAATGTTCGACTACAGCCTTCCTTCCTCTCAAAACCCTTTACAGAGAAAACACTTTAAAATATACTAAAATAAGATTCCTTAACCACAAAAAAACGGGTCTCTCAAAAACTTTTTCTGCAAAACAAATAATCAAAATTTTTTAATCCCAAAAATGTATTCTACAATCCAATACTATACCTATAACCAATAATGAAGATATTCTGTTCAATAAAACAAAAATGGTTTCTTACTATTTAAAAAGAAAACGAATTTTTTATATATTTATGTATGTATGTATGTATATGTACCTTATTCATTTATGTTTAAAATACAACAAAACAAAAAAAAAAAACAAATATATATATTTTTATCAACAATATTTTGTAACCATAAAACTTAAGCTCCTAAACACCAAAAAAACATTGCAAATGCATTCAATTGCAATCTCAAAAATAATGTCTCTACCACAAAAAAATTAAAAAAAAAATTTTTAAACAGTGGATCACAATTTTAATCGGATCAGATAGAGCTTGAAACGGGTTGCGGTTATATTTTTAGGTGTAGAACTTCTTGATTGATAGCCAGGGGATATAAATGAATGGCAAGAACAGTATTCTACCCAAATAGATTGTTCAACACGCCATCTATATGTGAAACATAAATGACAAGACAGTGCTCTGCTCATGCACATTTTTCCTAATTTGTCAATTTCAAGTTCAAAGGCCAAAGGTGAGAGTACATAAAAGGCTTTTCTGACTGGCTTAAATCACCGGCTGGCTTCTTCGTAGAGGAACAAAGCAAAGACATAGAAGTATAAAGATGGGACAAGACAGAGTCAAAATATGGCAACCCTGTGAAAAATACCTCTGTTGTTATGATATCGTAACAACATAGTTACCAATGTTAAGCAATTTAAACCGCTAAGGCAGTATGCAATGATTTGGGAAGGTATATGGAATAGAATTTTGAAACCAATATTTTGGCAAAGACCTCTTTGCTTTGTTCCTCTACTAAAAAGCCAGCCGATGACTTAAGCCAGTCAAATAAACGCTTTATGTATTCTCAGGATTATTAAGTCATCGGCTGGCTTCTTCGCAGAGGAACTAAGGAGTTTCAGGTTGACTTAGTTCGATTTTGGTCCTTTGTTCCTTTGAATTAAGATATTTTGCACAGATCTGTCAGATCGAGTTCGAAGGGTTGCCCATATTCGACGGACCCATCTGGCAACGCCATAACTTTTGACAGAAATGTCTCATCGCTTAATGACATACCGCGTTTGAAGCGTCAGTCCAAGCAGATTTTTACCATGAACCAATACACACAACGCGAGCGCTCTGAAATAGTTGAAATTTACATTCAACAGAAGAAGTCAATTGTGAAAAAAATGTGAGAAGTGCGCCTTCTAAGAACACCATTAAGCGTTTATACGAAAAATTTTCGACCGGTAAGGCTCTTTCTAATCCGAAGAAGCCATATAAAAGTCGACCAAGACGATCGGCCGCTTGTTTGAAGTGATCGATACTTTGGTATTTTTTAGTGCCAACCCTGTTTTCCAAAATACACAGTAGTCCAACGGAATGATATCCGGAGATTTTGGTGGCCATTGTAAAGCGAGGAACGTCATTTTGTAACCATTATTGGGTGGCGCGTGCTGAGTGCGTTGGTGCTGAGTCCTGTTCGAATGTTCAAGGTCTGCGTCCAAAACCTTCGCATGCCCAAGGCTTTAATACACCCTCCAGAATATTTTCGCCATTTATCTGATGCCACGGTCGATTAATACGAGTGGAGAGCGTCCATCTACTGTTATGACGGTCCACACCATCCCCACGGTGGCCAACCGAAGGTGCACATTTTCAGCTGACCTCTTTGGCAAGTAAACACAATCATTTTGTTTGCTTACAAACTGCTGGACAACGAATGTTTTCTCATCGGAGAAAACCAAATTCGGCAGTTCACCACTTACGGCCAAGCGAAGCAACTCTTTAGCTCTTTTGAGTCTATTTTCTTTCTGTTGCGGTATAAGTTCTTGCACTTTTTGGAATTTCAAGCTCAGTTTTCAATATTTGCCGAATGGAATATTGCGATATGTTCAGCTTCAGCGAGCCATCGCTTCTTTACTTTTCGAACCATTTCCACTGATGGTGCTGTTTTTTTTTCGTCCACTTCCTTGACGTTACCAGTATCAGGGTAACGAGCGATGGTACGAGACACAAAAGATTTATTCACATTTAAATGCTGGAGCGATCTAACGATAGCCACTTGTTGTTTTCCAGCCAAATACAAAGAAATCACACTATCACGCTTGAATTCCGTCACGAATAACTTTTTTTCTGGGAAATTCTCACCAAAATGCTTTTGTACGCTTGTAAACATTATAATGAGCTGTGACTAGAATAATTTTTAATAGCTGTCGGACGAGAGACTTAGAATTAACAGCAGTCCGATGATGGTTGCAGTTTTGTCATCTCACCCTGTATAGGTCCGCGATATCGTATAGCCCCCATATAACGGTAACCCCTGATATTCGGTATTTTAATGATTTCAGGCATAATTTTTAATGGAATTATCTTAAAAACCACACAAGGGATATCTTCTGAGTACTTTATCCCTTAGAAGAGAATTATCTACATAGGTCCAGGTTATAGTATAGCGCCCATATAACGATACCCCCAGATTTTCCGTATTTTCATGATTTGATTTTTTTTTTTCGTATTTATTTGATTTTTTTTTTCGTATTTAAAGTTCGGAAATGTTACTTCAGTCTATGACTTTTGCAACACCACACTCTTTGCATAGCCCCCAAATAATGATTTTCATTTGAGCGTTATTTTTCGACAGATTTTTTTTTAATTTTCTAATTTTTTTCCAAATGATGGAGGATATGAAAAGTTCGGCATGACCGATCTTAAGTGCTTTTTTACTCCTTATTTCTCATAAATAATTCTTAAATAGTTTGGCAATACTTAACTACTCTAAATGCTGAAATGTGTAGATACTTTAGATCATTTTGGGAATATTAAAAGGATTAATATAACATTCAAAATAATATTGGTATTTTTAAAATCCGAAAACGTTTCCAATCTAATATTTGTTCCAAAAAAAACAAAACGTGATCCACTGAAGATTAGACCTCAAATTCTGGTAGAGATATTAAAACAATGAAAACGCCTTTTATTATTACTTTAAACTCTAGCAACTAACTTTTCAACGTCCAACACAACAAATATTAATAAAAAAAATAATATTTCTAAAAAAATAAGACGATGGGTAGTTTTCTAAAAACTAAAAAATATAGATTTGTAGATAAACCTTGACAAAAAAGCCCCACTTTAATCTTAAATAAGCTCTACTCTGATCTGAAATATGTATTTTAAGATATAAGTATAACTAACAACTTTAACTCATTTTTTTTTTGTAAAAAAAGCAGATTATTATTATACAAAAACTCCAGTGTAAATGTAAAATGACTTTTAACTAAAAAAAGTTTTAAATGTGATTAGATTGGACAATCTCAATGAACCAAAAAACGGAAAATAGAGGCCCCCATTAACTTTAAAATAGAATTTAAAATAAAAAAGAAACCTCTCACAATAAACGTCAAACTAAATTTACAGAAAAAAACAGATTAGACTTTCTTGCAACTGAAAATCACATAGAAGACCCCCTAATAACCTCCAAATCAAACTCGTCAAAGTAAAAAAGAAGTCTCTTAAGCAGCTCACTGTAAGAAGAAAAACTCCAATTAAAAAATAAGCAAGCAAATGGAAAATAAGAAAACAAATAACAAATATATATATTTACACTCACATAGATATTTACAGAGCAAAATTGTCCCTCACACACAGACACACACTCACACTTACCTAGACATGACACAACCCGATAGACAAAGTCTTTTGGAAGATTTGGAAAAAATTTTGCGCTGGCTCGCCACATTTTTCCGTGGAATCTTCAAAATTTATACCGGAAATTAAAACAGTTTATTAAAAAATATTTAAATTTCCATTTTTGTTTGCGTTAATTGAATTTTGCATGATTTATGCCAAAAAAACATTTTGATTGCAAATTTTAAATATTTACACAAAAACTACAAATTTACAAAAACCCCAAGGAAAACTTTAACGAAAACAAACGAAATGAACCAAACCAAAAATTGAATGAAATGCAAAACCAAAAACAAAAGAAAAAATGCCCAAACCACAGAGAACAAATAGCAATAGTTTCTTTAAAAGAGCAAAGCAAACAAAT